AATGTTGATTACCATTTTAATTGTTTTCTTTTCTTTTTTGTCACACACTTGTCTGTCTATGGAAATGAGATTCATTGCTGATGTTCCGGACATGATATCGGACGCTTTTTGTACAATGCAACCAATCGTCTCCCTTACCTATTTATTGAAACGACACTCTCTTATTACATATACCGTTGCCGTTTCTTAATACCTCTGGACATTTCCATATCGATTAACCCTTGCACTTTAATTACAGCTTTATATTTAGTTATCATTCTTATTAACAAATCCGGCGATATAGAGCTTAATCCTGGTCCTCCTGTAATCGCTGGCACACTCAACTCTTCAAATTCATCTATTGAATCTTATGCTTCTCTTTTTAACCGAGGTCTGAGCATCATGCATTTGAATATCCAAAGCCTGAAGCCAAAGATTGATATTTTAGCTGTAGAGGCCCAACCTTATGACATCCTTATTTTCACAGAAACGTGGCTGTCTAACAATGTTACAGACACAGACCTTTACATTCCTAACTTTAGTAAACCCTTCCGTTGTGACAGAATCGATCGTATAGGCGGTGGTGTAGCTATATATGTCCGTGATTCTTTACACGCTATTGAAAGGAAAGATCTGCAAGTGCAAGGTGTAGAAGCACTCTGGACTGAAATACATATATGTCAACGTAAATTAATTGTTGGGGGTATATACCGACCTCCGAATTCAAATAATACACAATGGTTAAAAATGGAATTCTTGCTTGATCAGGCACTTAATCAACACGTTGATAATATCTTAGTAGCTGGTGACTTTAATATTAACGTACTTGCCAACCCTTCAAACAAAATGACAAGACTTATACATTCTTTAAATTGCGAACAACTAATAAACTCTCATACGCATTACACAGAAAGTTCTAATTCACTTATTGATCTTATGTTCATTAAAAAATCTCATCATGTTCTCACGTCTTTTGTTGCTGACCCATTTCTCTCTGACCTAGTAAGGTTTCACTGCCCAATAGTGTCAGTACTTAATTTTACCAAACCACAACAAAACTGTTTTCGTTGTAAAATTTGGATCTACGATAAAGGTGAGTATCAAAAATATAACGAAAAACTTAGTTCAATTGACTGGTCATTCATTGACAACAATCAAAACCCAGATAATATTGCAGATTGTATCGCCCAAAAAATTCTTAACGCAGCATCTGAAAGCATCCCAAACAGAATAGTAACTATCCGGCCAAATGACGTACCTTGGATAAATAATGATGTCAAAAAACAAATAAGAAAACGTAGGAAACTTCATCGAAGAGCTAAATTACTTAATAATACAAGAGCGATCAGTAATCACATGTGTCGCCTCATAATGGCCAATTTCATGTTAGGACAAATTTTGTAACAGACGGACAGACAGACGGACAGTGCACAACTAGACTTGGTACTGATCAATCATGTAAAGTTTGGATAAAATTGCACCAGTAGCTTATGAGGAGTAGTCCGGACAAGCTATTGTGTATCTGGCAACACACAGAAAAAAACACCTTTTTATCAAAGGGCCATAACTCAGCCAAAAATCATTCAACCGGAAAACCCGTGCAATATGCGCAAGGACTTGAGCTACAGATCAATCCTGTAAAGTTTCATTGAAATTGCATAAGTGGTATAAGAGAACTAGTCCGGACAAACTTTAAAAATAAAAACTATTAAAGGGCCATAACTCTGACAAAAATCATTGAACCAGAAAATGCTGACAATATGCACAACTAGACTTGGTACTGATCATTCCTGTAAAGTTTGGATGAAATTGCACCAGTAGTTTATGAGGAGTAGTCCGGACAAGCTATTGTGTATCTGGCAACACACAGAAAAAAAACACCTTTTTATCAAAGGGCCATAACTCGGCCAAAAATCATTCAACCGGAAAACCCTTGCAATATGCGCAAGGACTTGAGCTACAGATCAATCCTGTAAAGTTTCATTGAAATTGCTTCAGTGGTATAAGAGAAGTAGTCCGGACAAACTTTAAAATAAAAAATTTCTAAAGGGCCATAACTCTGACAAAAATCATTGAACCGGAAAATGCTGACAATATGCACAACTAGACTTGATACTGATCATTCCTGTAAAGTTTGGATGAAATTGCACCAGTAGTTTATGAGGGGTAGTCCGGACAAGTTTTGTGACGGACGGACGGACGGACAGACAGACAGACAGACAGACAGACAGACAGACAGACAGACGGACAGACAGACGACGGAGAAGTAATCCCTATATGTCGCCACTACTCCGTAGAGGCGACACAAAAAATGCCTGGGCTAACTTTCGAAAAATTAGGAATGAAACCACAATACTTATAAAAAAATCTAAATCAGATAATCAAAATAACTTAACTACAAAGATTAATTCAGACAACATCACAGCAAAAACCTGGTTTAAACTTGCAAAAAAATTAACAAATAAACAAAGTGCATCAACAATACCAACACTTACAAATGGCTCAGCAATAGCGGAATCAAACAAAGAGAAAGCTGACCTTCTAAACACCTATTTTAGCAAACAATCAGCCATCGAAAACACACACCATCCCCTTCCACCTCTTGAAATCATTACAAACGTCCTTATTTCTGGTGTAACAGTCACTACTCAAGACGTTAAGGACTCTATCAACTCTATGGACTCAGCTAAAGCATCTGGTCCGGACTTAATTAGCCCAAGGCTCATTAAGGAAGGTAAGGATGAACTAGCTTCACCACTTGCAAAGTTTTTCAACAAACTTCTTTTAAAATCTGTATTTCCCTCCTCCTGGAAACTTGCCAATGTCTGTCCTATTTATAAAAAGTCCGATCCTTCTAAAACATGTATCTCTATTAAGCTGTCTCGGAAAAGTTATGGAAAGATGCATACATAAATACTAGTATAACCATGTCATTTCAAATAAACTATTAACACCATTTCTATCAGGATTCATTAAAGGGGATTCAACCATAAATCAGCTAACCTTTCTTTACAATGACATCAGCAAAGCCAAAGATGAAGGAAAAGAAGTTCGCGCAGTATTTTGTGATATATCAAAAGCTTTCGACAGGGTTTGGCACCATGGACTCCTCTATAAACTTTCTTCTTTAGGCATACAAGGTTCTCTTCTTCAGTGGTTCTCATCTTATCTTGCTGACAGAAAACAAAGAGTCATCGTATCAAATACTTCTTCAACACTTTTAAATATCAATGCTGGAGTACCTCAGGGGTCCAACTTAGGCCCTCTCCTGTTTCTAATATACATTAATGACATAGTCACTGATATTGAAGCAAACATTCGACTTTTTGCTGACGACACTAGTCTCTACATCATTGTCGAAGATCCCAACTCTTCTGCTGCAATATTGAATTGCGATCTTTCAAAAATTTCTGTGTGGTCTAAAACTTGGCTTGTCTCATTTAATCCTTCAAAAACAGAACATGTCCTTTTCTCAAGAAAACGAAACAAACCCCAACACCCTTGTCTAGTCGTCTTTGATAATGTGAACATTTCTAGTGTTAAAGAACACAAGCACCTTGGTGTCATCTTTTCTGAAAATGGTAAATGGACATCACATATAACATCAAATGTTAATAAAGCTTGGCAGAGAATTGGTATGCTTAGAAGTCTGAAATTTCTTATTTCTAGAGCGGGTTTGGAGAAATTATATGTAGCCTTTATTAGACCTTTGCTTGAATATGCCGACGTGATGTGGGATAACTGTAGTAATGAACTAAAAAATGATATTGAATCAGTTCAGCATGAAGCAGCAAGGATCGTCACAGGAGCTACTAAGTTTTGCAACATCAACAAATTAATTAGCGACCTCAGTTGGGATACACTCACAGAAAGGAGAAGAAAACATCGTCTCGTACTTATGTATAAAATGAAAAATGGTCTCGCTCCTGATTATCTCTCTGGTCTGATACCAGAACATTTTAATCAACCCTACACTCTTCGCTCTAACACATATATCCCATTAATACACTGCAACTCCAAATCATATGCTACTTCTTTTCTTCCGTATACTATTCGCCAGTGGAATTCTTTACCTGGAAATATTAGAAATGCACCCACAGTAAGTGCTTTCAAACACAAACTCAACTACAGAAATGTGTCGTCTAATAAGAAAAAAACACCTGTATAATTTTGGCAGCAGGAAAAACCAAGTAAACCATACACGTCTCAGACTTGGATGCAGCTCTCTTAATTTCGAATTACATAGGAGAAACTTAATCTCGTCTCCTTTGTGTACATGTGGTGCTATAGAAACTGTTTCCCACTTTTTGCTCAGTTGTCCTAAGTACCATACCATATGTCAGCAATTCTTTGACGACCTACCCTGTGCACCAACCCTTAATAATCTTCTTTTCGGCAATGATCGCCTAAGTGTGGACATAAATCAAAATCTGTTCACACTTGTCGATTCATAATTCCCGACTCAGCGTTTTAAACATCGTATTTCCATGACAAACTGTGTGACACAACTTTTTTTTTTTTATTGTTATTATTATTTTTATTTTCTTCTCTTTTTTTTATTAAAAGGGAAAATGAATAAACAAAAAATCAAGTAAAACCTTTCGAAAAATTATTAATTTAGATCAATTTTGAACTTAAAAACATGCACTGATCATATAAAGTGAAATAATAAAGACGAAACTCCATCATGGAAAGGAATTAATATAAGTGTTATGCTTGTTTTCCAATCCATATATATTGTGATGTAAAAATGTTACATGCTTGTAAAAATTGATGAATAAAATATGTTTAAACTAAAATCTACAAAGTTAGAGTATTATAATTAATATTCGTGCAAAGACAGCGTCGAATAAAGTACATTTAATGTGTCTTGTGCGTCAAAATGTTATTGTCGACAGAAAAAATATTGTCAGTTAAAAATCGATTATATGGGGGCTTATATATAGAGGATATTTGTTTGTTTTGCATGTAAGAATCGAAATATATTTTACTGAGTGAATACCAGATGCAAAATAAAAAACAACAAATTTTATATTTATTTCATGCAGTTTAGTGATTTTAACTCATTTTTACTGATTTTGACGCGTAACAACTATATAAATAACAATCAACATACATTTTACTTCTATAAGTAATGCATGACAAACAATACTATATAAACCATTTGGTTATTAAGTCTTAACTTAGTATTATAGCATGCAAATAATTCAATCCAAATTGATGATAAATAAAATATTAGGACCACTATTAAAATGACCAATGGTAAAGATTGCTCTCTAGTTGAATGATCTTTTCGAAAACGAAATTAAGAAATGGGTTTGTTTGTTTGGTATGTGTTAACATCAATTGTTATACATTATTATGATATTTATCCGCGGTCAGTCAACCTATTAAAAAAAGTAACTGGCTTTCCTGGAAAACAGACCAATGATTACCACTTTCTCCACAAAGACCGACTTTTAAGCCCGCATGATTTCTAAATGAATGGAAAAGGAATTGTCTCGTAAACTATTTCTTTCGCCTGAGAATGGAAATAGCAACACCTGGATTACAAATTCGAAGCATTATCCCTATTCTTGCATAACAGTATACACCCGACTTGGTAATTCCGCAAATTTTGCATGAAATAATGCACGGATGGTCTCCATTCACCAGTCAAACTCAAAAGTGTCATATGACCACTACTGTACGACTTACACCCCAATAAAAAATTGTAATTCCGAAATCCGTTATTTGGTTCTCACATTCGAGTTGACGTTCTTGTTTGATGACAAATATCTTATTTTGAATGGCACCCTGAACACGTATATCAACAACGGCGCGTTCTCGTGCTTTTTCCAATTACATGGATTCATTCTGCTCTAATTTCTGGTAAAGTATACTACGTGTACAACGTGCTCATTTGATGTAAGAATACAAATATTAAACCCCATAATACAACAAAACATAAAACATTAAAATTATCTTACTTAATCAACGACAATTACAATGATGAAACGTGTGACAGCTTTGTTAAATCTTATGAAAAAATAGAACGTTTATTCTGGATTAATGATGTAATTAGAAATATATCATTTAATCATCTTTTATACACTAAACATTAATATTTGACTTCTTTATAGAACAACTACCTGTGTTACGTTTGTAAACTGCCGTCGAACGTATATAGTATGTAAAACACAACTTTTATACCCCGGTCACATATTCACGGAAGACGCCCACGGAAGAGCCACGGAGTAATTACGGCATCGTCCGTAGCTACCCGTACTGGTCAGAAGCTCTCCGTATTGTAACCGTAATAAATCGTAGTAGTCCTTGTATATCCGTAGCGATCCTTGACAATTTTTGAACATGCACAAAAATTTGCTACGGAAAAATCAACCGTAGCGTATCCCTACTAATCCGTATTAATCCGTACCGATACGTACTGGTCCGTACTGATTCGTAGTCCACCAACTTGGCAAGGATTGCCACGGTTTGGTACGAGGAACTACGTATTTGTACGGTTACCCTACGTATAAGCTACGGTTTTAATACGGATTAATACGGCATTGTCACGGAAAGCCACGATCGTAATACGTTGTATTACGGAGAGGCAAGGATTAGCACGGTCTTATACGGTTTATTGCGTTGCAACACGAAACGGTACGGAATGGTACGGCCCACCACTGTTTAGTACGGATGAATTAAGTATCATGTACTTTTTCAAGGGTATAAATACTACCTTCTTGTTAAAAAAAGACATATATATTTGCAGAAATAACTGCTTGATGACATCCATAGAAGTAAATTTATATTAATATCGTACTACAATTCATAAGAAATAGAATAACATTTAATGTTACATATTTTACAAACATTGGATCCTGAAAATGGAGTAAATATGTACATAAAACGAAGTGTCTCATAAGCCTCGGACACTGGCCCTTGAGTGATAATAAGATTAATTAACAAGCTTTTCACATATTTTTAAAACATAAACATCACGATAATTAATGTAATCAGGTAAGAGAAGACAGACGAGATGATGGACTAGAAATGGGCTTTTACGAAGACCGCTTCATGTTTAGTATGAGGCTCTCATGGCCAAAATTGTTGAGGATCCAGCGTCCTTCAAGAAAGTCACTTTAATCAGACCTGATGTGTCTCGGGGTTCGGACGCGATTAGGCTGAATCCTCTTCGCCAAAATCATTGAACGCTGCAATTCGTTTTCTAGGTGTTCTTTTCTTTTGAGTCATTTTGAAAATAAGCAAGCAAGAGATTATGGACAGATATTTAGTTCCGTATAGATCCGTGGCAATTCGTTCTTCTCCGTATCAATACGTTCTTCTCCGTATCAGACCGTACTTATTCGTACTAACCCGTGCTTATACCGTAGTAGACCGTAGTGTGTCCGTAGTGCGTCCGTCCTGATTCGTGTCGCTCCGTATCAAACCGTGTCGGTCCGTAACAATCCGTGTCTCTCCGGCGACTTTTGGTGGTAAATCCGTCGGACTCCGTACTCATACCGTTGTGTGTCCGTACTGGAACCGTAGCGGACTACGGAATTTCACATTTCCGTAGTAATCCTTGGACAATTAGACCGTAGCTCTTCCGTGGCATTATCCGTGAATATGTGACCGGGGCATTACAATGTCGTTTGTTATAAATATCAGGTGAATACATTTGGAAAAGTACACAGCTGTAAAACCGATATTTGTTACAGAATGAAATTTTGCTATAAGTAGCATGTTTCGAGTCGTATTAAGCATTAAATCGTCTATTTAGGAAATGGGTTTTTAATCTCCACCACATTCGGTGTAAACCAATAAAATGCACCTGTCCCGAGTTTATCTGTGCACCTCATCATTGTTGGTATGTTTGGAAGTTCCCAAGGCCGTGGTGTGGTCATGATAGATACTGTCGTGTTGTCATGACAACCAGCATTCTCGAACTGACACCTTCCGGTATTCAAAGTACAGCTGAGTGCTTCACAGCAGATTCGAGAAAATGGAATCTTAAGAGAGTAGCTTATCAGCATACCTTCTCGTCCCTGCATAGCAGTGTCTTATCTGTAACAATGATAGAGATAATATCTGAAACAGTGATGGTTACAGTGCTGAATAGATAAACACCAATTTAGAATTGTTTAACTATTTATATGATTGGTGAAATATCGTATAAAAAATATATGTACACTCACAAAGAAGCTTGCATGCACTAAAGAATAAATTCACGAGAGTATGCGCCGTTGTTGCACATGATTTAATATGCGCGACTTAGTGTGCCATATGAAATAGCTTACTTGGATAAGATCCCCGGTAGTTTCATTATCGAAACATATAACTTTCAAAATACATAGCACTAATGCACGAAAAAGCATTACAAAGCAAGTTTCTTCATACGAAAAACAAATAACGAAATTACGAAAACCCCTTCATTATTTTGTAAGTGTCGAGATTTTGGTTACCAATAAATGACGATAATTTGTTGATGTTGTCGCCTGGATTTTGAAACAAAAATACCCCAACAGCAACAATAATAAGTGTTTTTATATTTCATATGTATCAACGCGTTACGTTCATTAAGAACCTCAAAAAAAATCCTTATATTTATTTAGGAAAATTTTAAAGCTGTTCTTTGTTTACTGTATTTTAATAAAACGAGCTTAACTGCGTTAGCAAGACGTTTTCTTTTTCTTTTTTTCATGTACCGATAACTTTTCTAAACCTTATGGTGTTTGCTCAATGAACAAAGATTCAATAATAATCATTTTGCTTATGCGAAATATGAAACGCATTTTACCCCTTATAACTCAAATTGGGAAAAGAATCTTCACTTTTGAATATCTTATCTTCGAGATCTTTATATTTTTCGGTTTGAGTTGTTTTGTGTCCGAATGAAAATTTTAGGCTTTTTAAGCTCACTGGACTTCTTTAAAAATTATTTTATTCATTTTAGCAACATTTACAAACATGCTTTTTTAGTGACTTTAAATAGAACTTACAAACAGATCGTGTTGTGAGAGTCGGCCCAACAACCTTTAGAACATCCTGATTGTGTCAATGGTAGGAAATACGCTATAACAAAAATATACACCAACATCTTTGGTCGGATTTTTCGGAAAACAATCTGAAAATAAATAATAAAACTGCGTTAACAATACATGTAATTGCATTCAAATTTTTTACTAGAAGGTTCAAAGGTGCCCGTTTCCTTAAAGTTGTTGACTTCAAACCACTTGCTCCCCACAGCTAAAGGTTCGAATTCCACAAGGGGTTCTGAAATGTGAAGAAGCTCAGCAGGATTACGGAACGTCGTCGGTTCTATTCAGGTGCCAGCTCGGGCCTGTTATGTACGAAGGGGCACTTAACGTTCTTTTAAAAAAATAAGCCGAAATGTGTTCTTACGACGTTTAACCCAAAAACAATTATACAACAAAATTAGAAGTTTGGAAAATCTGTCATGAAATAATATTAATTTATCTATCAATAACAGTATATCGGTATACCTATGTGTCGTTCGTGCCTGAAATAATGCACAGAATGGAACCCGAGGTCTTCCTGTACAAGTAAAGCTGGAAAATCTCCATATTTTTTATGACCAATACTGTGTCTTAAAGATCCTGTATGTTTTGTGATTGATATTGTTACTGTTTGTATATGTATGTATGTATGTATGTATGTATGTATGTATGTATGTATGTATGTATGTATGTATGTATGTATGTATGTATGTATGTATGTATGTAGATGTATGTATGTATGTATGTATGTATGTATGTATGTATGTATGTATGTATGTATGTATGTATGTATGTATGTATGTATGTATGTATGTATGTATGTATGTATGTATGTATGTATGTATGTATGTATGTATGTATGTATGTATGTATGTATGTATGTATGTATGTATGTATGTATGTATGTATGTATGTATGTATGTATGTATGTATGTATGTATGTATGTATGTATGTATGTATGTATGTATGTATGTATGTATGTATGTATGTATGTATGTATGTATGTATGTATGTATGTATGTATGTATGTATGTATGTATGTATGTATGTATGTATGTATGTATGTATGTATGTATGTATGTATGTATTGTATGTATGTATGTATGTATGTATGTATGTATGTATGTATGTATGTATGTATGTATGTATGTATGTATGTATGTATGTATGTATGTATGTATGTATGTATGTATGTATGTATGTATGTATGTATGTATGTATGTATGTATGTATGTATGTATGTATGTATGTATGTATGTATGTATGTATGTATGTATGTATGTATGTATGTATGTATGTATGTATGTATGTATGTATGTATGTATGTATGTATGTATGTATGTATGTATGTATGTATGTATGTTAATGTTTAATGAAGGTCCATCCGCCCGTAAGGGCACAAAAAAAACAGCTTTCACTGTCGATTACGGACCCTGGACATGTCACCAGTCATGCCCTTAAAGTATGTTATAATTCTAAAGTGGTGAACTATTTGATTGAAATTCAGTAATTCACTGAATGAGCCCAAATAAAATGCAAATGTTTTTAGATTTATTAATGAAATAATACACGGGAGGCCAATGAGACCATTGTGTGCATTATGTTGTTTAGTTAAAGAATGTGTTGTTGCCTAAAATAAAGGATCAAGAAGCGGACGGGTAAGGTTTTCCTGACATATAGACGCACGGACGAGCAATGGTGCTTTGGACAGGTGTTTTTGGTTCAGTGCCTCAGACGAGCAAAACGGACAGACAAGTTCACTCCTTCCAGTTTTCAGCTCCGCCATGGACCATGGAATGTTTGTATACCACACTTGCAAAAATTATATATGTATATAACTATGCAAATTAAACAATTTTCATTTCGAAGAATATGTAAAATATTTTTGAACATTATATTTAATCAATAAATTGCATGCAATTATTTCTTATTGGAAAATTTGACTTAGAATTTATAGAAAATAAATTTCTAATTACCTCCCTTTATTTACATGAAATGTTAAATTCGGTAATATCTTTATAAATAATGCTTATTGGAACTCACAATATTGACAAATCTTAATTTGAGCATAATATTTATGTAATAAAACCATGAAAAAATTGAATTACAGGATCTTTAAAACCCAGTGAAACAAACACACAGACTTACAGAATATCACAATGAAAGAAAAATACATATAACTAGACATTTTTGAGAGAATACAAAGATTATTTTTAACAATTAGATTCATCAAAATGAAATAAACACAGAATTCTAAACATTTGGTTTAAAAATAATAAGAGTTTAAGTGCAAAGTTGACTCAATGATATAAATACTTAAAAAAAAGTTCGATATATTGTCACGAATGGATATTATACATGCTTCAATAAAATTAGTGAACAGGTATATCAAAGAGAATAAATCTACTTTCAACAATTATTTCAAACATTGATAATAGCAATAGAAATATATTTGGATATTCTTAGAAAAAATGTCAGGAACAAAATTGTTAATCTAGTTCTAAACGATTTAGTATGAACATATATATGAATAATAATAATAATTTGTTTCAGAATACTTTATTATGCAATATCCCATTATGTTATCTTACAAACAGTTTGTTATCACGTATGATAATAAACTATATGAACCTGATTACATGTATTTATAGTTTTGCATACTTTCAATTTTAGACCTATTCACTTGCCTGCAGACTGGTATAACTGATTGTCAGTAAGGGGCGTCCGTGGCCGAGTGGTTAATGTCGTTGACTTCAAACCACTTGCCCCTCATCGCTGTGGGTTCGAATCCCGACAGGGACTTTTTGATTCTTTCATGTGAGGAAGCTATCCAGCTAGCTTACGGAACGTCGGTGGTTCAACTAAGGTTCCCGTTCGTGCCTGAAATAATGCACGGAAGGGCACCTGCGGTCTTCCTCCACCAGTAAAGCTGGAACGTCGTCATATGACCTATAATGTGTCGGTGTGACGTAAAACCCAATTAAACAATACAAACATTGTCAGTGAGGAAATCGTTTAGCAATGTGTTTAAAAGTTTACCAAGGTGAGGATTAAATTGAACATTATATAAATTGTGATATTTGTTGAATACATTTAACAGAGTTCTATGACTTGAATAATGAATGATGTTACGAAGCAATACAAAAATGCAATGGCGTAGACGTCGTGCCTAACACCTCCGTTTTTTCCTGAACTATTCAACAATGTTTTAGATATTGTTTTTCGTATAGTTAGGGGAAAGCAACACGGAGAAGCCAATTTGTAGTAGCTAGCAAAATGTTATGCTAATCAAAATCAGCTCTATAAGACCTGTAATTGTGTGGGTAATTCTTAAATTCAATATTGACAGAAAGATTAAGAAAAAAACCATTACACAAGTCACAGTACTGTATACGACAATATCACATTTTATGACAATTACTTCTGCGTTTCAGTGCAATTCTTCTATACAAAAAGCTATTTTAAAACAAGTTACACCAATCTGTGGGTAATTGAGTAATCCTAAAATATTATACAAAGCATCATTTAATTTCAATAAAGAATATCACAAAAGTATGTTATTTTCAAATCTGAAAATCAAAATATATCCTTAATCAAGATCTACATAATTTATATTAATATAACTTTACTTACCGGCTGTCTGTAACTAGAAACACGTATTGCGTATATCATAAGTCGCTCTGGCTTTTATACGACAAGGCACTAACAGGAGAAGTTATTTTTCATATTTAAGTAATGGTTATTGTCAAATGAAGCAGATTTGACGTGCACATTTAATTAATTGTGTAATAAAATACAATGTTGGTGATAAATTTTAGATAAAAACATGCTGAGATTAATATTCCCTGTTTAAGCTTATTAATTTCACTGACAAAAACATTATGTTTTAGTAATGATAAACAAGGGCTGTCTGAATTGTGATATGTATTGTACGATATATCAAAAACATTTGACTCAAACAGTCAAATGAACATTATGTCCCTTTAAAGTATTCTCCGCGGTTTAGAGTATGTAATGCTAAGCTCTGAATCTGTTTAGAAAATGCGTCACGGTACGTTGCTATAGCTAGATCTCTGAGGTACTAAATGATGGCGGAGCCAAGCGTCTGTACCAACGACCAGATAAAAACTAAATATGAAAAAGTCGCGAATAAGGCTAGATCAGGAGTGTATGGTGCTACACAACTTTAGACGAAGCATCACCATGATGTAGACGAACATGCATACATCCTGACACTGAGTGTCGTTTCGGAAAATATTTCTTGAGTTTTGTTTTTAGTATACCATCTCGGTACTAAACATTTATGCCCGTCGACAACAAAAAATGATCAGATATAGCTTCACGAGAGAAGTATTTGAAATAAAGGTCCTTCTTTGTGCCCATGTCTTTTTTTGTAAACTACATGCCTTCTTCCGTATTGGTCAGCAATATTTATTTCATTATTTTTCTGACTGGGTCGGAATAGTAAACTCATTTTCGTCACCAGTAAAAATGTTAGCATATTGTCTTCGATTGGAAAGTTTGGAAACATTTTGAGAAATTGCTTAGCGGTTTGTACTGGTACATTTTTGTCATCTTTCATTGCTGCATGATCGATTCCCGTCAGGCTTTGGATCCTCCGTGAGGAAGGTATATAGCTAGCTTATAAAAGGCCGGTCGTTCTTCTCAGAAGCCTGCTAGTACCGTATATAATGCACGGATGAGCACCTTAAGCCTCCAATTGTGAACTCTGAAAGCTACCACATGATGGCACGCCTTCAAACACACTATAGTGTAGTGGGAATGATCAGTGTCTCTGTGAATGTCAATGTAAATAGTGCATATGCTTAATCCTCCTTATAAATATATTATGTATGTCTAAAAATGGAAAAATATTTTAAAGTCTTCAGGACATATGAGGGATGATCAAAAATAACTATCACTTATTGTTATATATCACAATGAATCGGAAAACTATATACCATATCTAATTTGATAACGCAAATAGCTTGTACGTAACAGCGATTTAAAAAAGCATGGCAACGCACACCGGCGCAGTATAAATTTGCGCTGACGTTTAAGCGCTTGAGTTTAAACTCTTTATCTTAACGCTATACGTCACAGTATTTTTGCAATGACCTGTATATTTGGCTCCTCCTTCTAACAAGTCATTTAATATCAAAATCTAGGGAATATGCCTATTTGGATATTAAATCTGCATCCATCCTTTGCAGGAACATTAATTGCTTGAATTAATGAATAAATAAACATTTGCCATTTTAAAGGATCGGGTTGCACTATTTTCATTTTCAACGTCAAACAATAATTTCTAAAATTTTTATAGATATCGTTCAAACCTCAGTAGTTTAAACCTATGACTTTCTGTTATTAGGTAAGGATTTTGATTTTCTTACATTATAACATGTGACGTTTAGTTTAAGTATTTACATATTAAGTGATTGAAATCGATGCCGAAAACTAAACCATACGAATTCCTCAGCATAATTTGCACAAATTCATGGTCTTTAGTGTGAGCATCAGTTTTGAGTTTTCTTACTAAATGCAAAATAAAAAAAAAAGAAGAGAAAATTAGTAATAAAAATAATTATGATATTAATAATAAGAAGGATAACAATGATGATGCAATGGTATGGATTCGATTGCTGAACGGTTTTGTCGTCTCAATGTTAATGAGTTTAGGTTAAGGTTTTGAATTTTACATTAAATGTGATCATTGGTAATTAACGGCATGCCTAATGGGGAGAATAGCATTTCTTGAGAAATTTTCTTTTCAGAATTCGTACCAAATGGAATTGTTCCATGCATATGTCTGTTAGGAAATAAAAATAATAGTATGATTAATACTGCTGAGAAATAAGAATTTTTCAAATAGACAAAATATATGGATCCATGAAGAATAAATGAACGTGTAATGAACGACTAACCACAATAGGCATCTAGGCTTCCCTCCGTAATACCATTAAGCATTTCTTCAGATATTCAACCGGAAGTAGAAAGAGTAGTTAATTATCAATTAGTTCGTCACCCTCGGCATAGTACGGAAAAATGGAATTGAGTGATGTGTTAATTTTCGGTTCTGTTAAGTTTTAATATAGCCACCCATTTATAAATGGTTACCTGCTTTTGCAACAATACGCACGTAACTAACGTTGTTGCATTGCCTCAATTACCTAATGTAAACTATATAGCCTTGTTTATAATACGGAGCAATTCATTGTGTGACAGAAGCATATCGAGGTTGAAGAGTACTAGTTGGGACTAGAGATTCAACGTTAACTTACGTGGAAAAATTAACAAATTACTTACGAAATATTTATACCTTCAGTTTGAAGAAATTCTCTATTTTTCGTCGCGCGTTACTGACAATATCCAAGTTTCCATCTTATAACAACTTACTAAAAAGTACATGTTTGGCTACAATGATATATTTATTAATTAACTATAGGCAAAATGTCCGTTTTTTTAACCGCACACACATGATCTAGAGTGTATTGGTAGCTTAAACGACAAAATAGAAAAGGAAACGTATTGATAATATACAACTGTATCTTTAATAGATATCCCAATACAAACGATAAGACATTTTCATGTCATTTAATTTAAAGCAGCATGTAAATTTTCATGAAAATTTTGATTTTTTTTTAAAAAGTAAAATATTGTCGAGTGAACAAAGAAAATAATTTTCACGTTGGATACAGCACTAACAGCCAATGTAAATCAGCAAAATAAAAGAGGTCAAAATATGCAAAAATAATCCTCATTGCGTTAGTAACGCAGTAGAAATATGGTGGAAAATACTGCAAAACATATTTGCATATAAAGATATTACTTAAGTTTTGAATCTTTTATTGTTTTTATAAATCAAAGTACTTTTCTCTTGTTTGATTTTCTTGAAATATTTTGATTTCATCTGGAGGCGTGCAGCTTTAATGTAAAATGCATTAATTTTATAAGCATATGTTTTTAATAATATTAAATCCAACTCATTTAGAATAGGGTTTGTATCCAGTTTGAGTAACCTTGTTGTACATGTAGTTAAGTAAAAGGTAGAAATAGCCGTCAAATATTCGTTCAACTCGTATTTTATGTGAATTTGATAACAGGGTGTTTTTAACTAAGGAAGACACTGCTTTCAAAATTATAAAGAGAACAAAAGGTTCTGCCAATTGCCCTTAAAGATATATTGGGCCGGTAGTCCGCCTTTGGGTTTAAATTTGCAGTGTCTATAATAAATATAATTATGGGTGCAGTTTACCCACATTTAAATGTATTTGTGATACCGTGGACGGATTACAATGCAGTAATTTAACTTTACTTAATAATTAATATATCACCCTGTAAAAAGTTTTCATAATGGGTGTAGTATCAGATTAAACATGGGTACAGTTTACCCAAATATATTTTTTATTATGGGCGCAGTTTACCCAGATTTATTTCTATTATTGGTGCAATTTACCCAGTTATATTTCCGTAATATTGAACATATATGGGTGCAAATTACCCAAAGATATGAAATTTTGAACATTTATAGTTGCATTTTCCCAGATAAAATAATGTAATTTCGTTCATTTATGGGTGAATTTTGCACAAGTATGGGGACATTTTTCATTGCAGGTAATTCCGTAAAAAAAATAAAATAAATAAGATGTAATAAATTTGTATCGTTGTGAAGAACAAATTCGTTAACATGTGTTAAAATTAGGTTTTCCAGTGGTCCAATTCCTTGCATGGTTAGTTGGCTCATCCCTTATAAAGTCACTTTTCATTATTTTTCGTTTTGTGTGACATGTGCTCTTTTATGTGAAGTTTTTGTGTGACATGTGCATTTCATTTTATATAGCCTACAATTTAGTATCGTATTATTTGAATCTACCTGCATATTTACTTGAACATTACGGTGGGATTAAAATGGGTTCTTCTTCGTCAACAACTGCTAATGAAGAAGAAACTTTCTTCTAAGCCTAGATAAATATCAATTTTCCTACGTTTGTGCAACATCATTCCAAGCACTTAATTAATTCAGTCTCATGTTTGTTTGCGACATTCTTATAGATATATGGCTGTTGTTTTTTTTGGCGGAACGTATCAATAGTGACATACAAAATAGTACCTATGTTATAAGAAATAGGAATTGTTGATAAAGTCTTAAAACCCCGTGATCCTTTGAGTAGATGGTGCCATTAACTCCTGTCTGGTCACGATACTACGTTAATTAAATTTCGTTCGTGGTGTATGCTTAAACACACGTCCAGTATTTTCAATAAAATCGTCATGACTGAGTCATTAATTTTGGTTTATGTTAGCCCGCTGTTGGCGGAAGGATCTCTCAATTCTTCGAGACCCTTTTGGCGAAAATCTAACATAAAATTACAGGTTTTTGCAATCGATGACGAAGCAAAACCTATTTTATAATACCAGTATTTTATTTTATATAAAAGGTTCAAACTCTATTAACTTTATGTTACTTAATGACCAGTCATGGCGGAAATTTTATGCCAACCATAAATAAAATAAGTTTTGCATTTATTATCATTTGTTCCTTTAAAGTGACCATGTTGGAAAAATAATAGGCGCTTTATGAAGCGTATATTTTTACAATATGACACAAATAGATTTCAAAATACGCCGAAACGTCACGAGCCATATTTGACGTTGTCAGAAAAATGACTTCAT